TGAGCCGTTTGGACTTTTTCAAAATAAATAGAATAATTCAGGATTCCAATGCAGAACATGTACAACACTTAGAGTTCTTCAAGTGAACAAGAAAACCACACAGTACCTGAATTTATGAAGCTACACTGAATTGTGGAGGCAGAGCACCAAGACCACACCCAACAAACTCTGGGCAGGCTAGCAGGTTCGCCTGGCTGTGCCGATGTGGGAGTGGCCTGCTTCGTGCTAACGTGTCTGTTGCTGAACAACAATAAATTTTTGCACCCACCCACCCACTCACCAAAAGATGAACGCAACAAGCCCTCTGCAGCAGGTAAGGACGATAGAAAAGCAATATCTGGACTAAAATGAAGGTATATAAACAGCAAGAGCAATATATACTAGCTACCTAGAGAGCAAGATAGAGTTTGCTTAGCTAAAAAGTATTGAATGATTAAGCCCTAGACTCATAATATCATTAAAGGACGTCCAGTGGAGGGCAGCGGAAGCTTCAACGATGCGACATTCTTCAACGTGTACCTAAGTTTGCGAGCGTCACGAATTTTCCGCTTCGTTCTAAATACCTTAAAAAGGTATGAAAACTGTTGTATAAAACAAACTTAGCAATATATAGAGTTTTAATGTAATCGATCAGAGGCCGTGGTTTGAAAAAAAAGGGGGGATAGGGGGCTGAATCAAGGCCGCCCAAGAAAAATTATCTGCTAGATTGACCATATTGCGTCCACACAATATAAAAATAGGAAAATTGTGAAGAATTTTGATGGCATACGAACAGTGGTTGAGGAATTTCGTCCATCAGAATATATACAGCTCACGCGTTAATCGTCCGAGTGCACGTGAAAGCAAAATTGATCGCGAGAACTAAGTGTTGAGTGTAGCTATACCATTCTGGTTAGAAGGGCCCAAGAGGCAGGTCCCGTACTTATACGGCTGAATAAAATGACCTAACCAACAGTTTGCCTGAAAGTTATTGAGACCTACTATAGGAAGTTTGCTTTGCTATACAATTATAAAATAAGAAGTCACAGTTCTGCCGAAAACGCGAAGCAATGAATGCGAAAGCAGCAAAATTCAAGGTCACGCGCAGAATGGCAATCGTGTCTGAACGTGCCCCGCGTTTCTCACGCACAAGTGACGCACGGAACGTTCTCTTAGGTACAGATGCACGCGCATAAGCGTCTCACTTGATACTTCGCTGTGTCTGGAAAGCGTGCGCTTTTCGCAAAGGAAGACTACAATGAATGCATTGACCTTTGTGCGCCCGGTAAATACAACAGAGTCGTTCCAGGTAAAGCCCGAGGCCAGCCAAGACGCACGATCCTCTTCACCGCGAGATAAAGGTGCACGTGGGAGCATCGCCCCTCTCCTATAGACGTGGCAAAGTACGCATGGAAGAGTGTGGGCCATACGTGTTGGCGACGCACGCTGATTGAGCCATCTTGCTGGTAATGCTGAAATCATAATAATTCCCCTCCAAGCTGCCCGTCAGCAGCGGTAAGTGGTAGATATTGTCAGTTGTCATTTCAGATTAAAAGATAAAGCTTCGAAAGTTTTAGGGATGCATTGCCACGAAGATGCTTGCCATTCTTTTCCTATGTGATTCTTAAAGAGAAAACAAGAGAAAAGTGAGCTCCGTACCTGTCTGCATCCCAGTGCGAAAACTCAACAATAGCTCACGAGGGATAGGGGTAAGGAGGGATTAAAAGGATAGGATTAAAAGGTAAATGGATCGAGAGAGAAAGGAGAGAGCGATGCGCAGGGACAGCGAACGACAGAAAACAACGGAAGTAAAGAGGAGATAGGAAAGATGGACACGGTCGCAGGAATCCGAGGACGAAGCACCACTCAGCGAGAGCTCTTGTTAGCGGCAGAAGATGGCGTAGGGCGAGCCAGGCGGCCAGAGCTGCGCTGTCTTTGCAGATCACAGGGGCACAACCAGTCGGAACGAGATCCAGAGAGCGAGTCTGCCGTTGGAACGCTGAATGACTTGCTCCTCTGTGCTTCAGTGGTTGACGACCCGCACTAATGATTCAGTAGACACAAGTTCGATTCCGCGTGCCGGAGTCTAATTCTGCATTTTTTGTTCCTTGTGTTTTAATATGTTTATATACATGTACGATGAGTGACGGTGACACCGATGCAAACGCATACGCCAGCGTCCAAAACCCGCTGAGAGTGAAAATTCTGCACATCCACCATACCTTGGAAATTGGTACTGTACGAAGCATACTGATGTAAGGTCAACCATTGGAATTTTTAATGGGACAAGATATGGTCATTGTCGGTGCCGGCGCCGTCATTCACGTATATGTACAATGTTTATATATATATATATATATATATATATATATATATATATATATATATATATATATATATATATATATATATATATATATATATATATATATATATATATACATACATAAAGAAAGATGCCGACCAGCACCGTAACAAATACTCGCTATTATCTTTCACGAGAAACCCACCGAACATAAACAATGTCCTTGGGAAACACTTTAACATATTGGAACAGAGCGCGCGACTACCCAAAACTTTCTGCTGACCCGCAGGTCGCGGGATCAAATCCCGGCTGTGGCGGCTGCATTTTCGATGGAGGCGGAAGTGGTGTAGGCCCATGTACACAGATTTGGGTGCACGTTAAAGAACCCCAGGTGGTCGAAATTTCCGGAGCCCTCCACTACGGTGTCTCTTATAATCATATGGTGGTATTGGGAGATTAAACCCCACAAGTCAATCAATACCCTTAATGAGTAAATAAAAGTATGCTTTGAAAAAGACGGGGCTCCCATCGACACGTGAGCTGAATAAACAGTTGCTATGTGAAAACTCAAAAAGTGGAAGGCATGACAGGGAACGTACATGTGCCCGATGGTTGTTGAATCTAATTCTAAACGATCGCTGTCAAGTGCACTTCTAATCCTGTGCTTAAATCTGAGTGGGTGCTTTCCGCCACTTTCGTTGTCGGCATGTGTTGGCATACTTTGCATCTGCTTTTTTTTACAAGGGCGACACCCTGTTTGAGGTTTGAAGTCTCTTTTGAATTTATCAAAGTATCCCTTATACTCTTCGGCCGCCTGTATACCACACAAGGAGGAGAAGTGAAAATTTTTTATAGTCGCACGCTGTGTTCCAATATGTAAAAGTGTTTTCTTAGGACCTTGTTTATGCTAGGTGGGTTGCTCGTGAAAGTTATTAGCAAACTTTTGTTATGGTGCAGGTCGGCATCTTTTTAGTGGTGTAGAAAAGTCTGGCGGTCCATATTTTCCGCTTGTTTGATGGCGTCATCAATGATAGCTGACGGGTATTCTTGATGAAGGAGTACTTCACGCATATGTGTGCTGGTTTTGTGGAAGCCCTCGGTGTGGGATCAGATTCGTCGGAATCTGTGTGCTTGCGATAGAGAATGCTGGTGTTGCAGTGTCGTGGGTGGCAGCTATTGAGGTGCAGGTATTGTTGCCTGTCCGTGAGTTTTCTGTATACGCTAGTTACCAACGCACCATCGTTCAATCAAATAAGTACATTAAGAAAAATCAATTCACTGTTGGAGTAAGAGCATGTAAAATAAATGCTCGGGTGTACTTGTTTAAATGCCTGTATGATTTTGAGCAGTTTCGTTTTCCGAACTTGTCCAAATCATAAATATATCGTTTAGGTACCGTTTATAGATATACGGTTTGATATCACAAGATGAAAGAAAATTGAACTCTATATGGTGCATGAATATGTCAGCGTAGTTTGGGGCCATTGTTGTACCCATTGCCATACCCATTGTTAAATTCAAAGCTGTTCAATGCGAGTACAAGTGTCGTTAAGATTTCAATTACTTTTTTGTTTGAATATGACATAGGGTTGTGGGTGCAATACGATTCAACAAGTCTCTCCCGCCATCGTCATGTGGGATATTTGTGTAGAGTGAATTAATATCCAATGTTACGAGGAATGCACCTTCTGGAATTTTCACGTCCGATATTTCCCGAAGAAAATGGTTTGTGTTCACGCAAGAAGGACTCATGTGTGGGTGGTATGTTTTTGATTAAACAGTCAATATAATTGGAAGTAGGTTTCGTTGACGTTCTCGTGCCTGATATAATGGGTCTGCCAGGGTTTCCCTATTTATGGATCTTCGGCAGCATGTAAAAACGACCAGGCATCATATATATATATATATATATATATATATATATATATATATATATATATATATATATATATATATATATATATATATATATATATATATATATATATATATATATATATATGGCGAAACGGGTCGGCGCCGCTTCTGCGCGTCGTGGCGATGCCTCCAAACACGGGCGCCAGCGATAAGAACACTCTCGCCCGAAATAAGCAAGAAAACTGTGTGTGCCCCGATTCAGGGGCAGTCGTTGTAGAACCTTCAGTGCGCAAACATTAAAGTTATGTTATCCCATATCTAGTGACCCGGGAAACAAACGTACCGCACCGCCATGGCCAACGAGGAAACCCTTGCTGCTCTTCAACAACAAGAACAACAACTGCAACAACAACTGCAGGCCCAGCAGCAAGTGATCTCGAACCAAGAGTAGCAGCTCCGCGAACAGCAGCAGCGCAATGAAAATGAAGCACTCTCGTCCAACTATCGTGCACCACCCCACTTGGGTCACGCCCCCCAAAACTTCGCTCCAGTGGTCCCTGCCACCTCGGGCGCCTCCATTGCTGCGGCCGTCACCAACATGGACGTTTGACGCGTCGCTGTCAAACTTCCGCCGTTTTGGGCAGAGGCGCCAGACGTGTGGTTCGCTCAAGTCGAGGCGCAGTTTTACACGGCATGCATCACCCAGGACCGGACGCGCTATGACTACGTCGTCGCCCATCTAGACTCTCGCTATGCGGCTGAGGTTCGCGATATACTTGCGAATCCCCCCGCTGATGACCGTTAACTACACCTGAAGAGGGAACTGATCCACCGGCTTTCGCCTTCACAAGACGAGAAGATGCGTCCCCTACTTCAGCACGAAGAACTCGGTGACCGCAAGCCATCGCAGCTCCTGCGTTACATGCGTGACCTCTTGGGCAGCACCCTAGTCGACGACTCCCTCCTGCGTATCATCTGCCTTCAGCGTCAACCCTCACATGCCCAGGCCATCCTCCAGGTGCAGCTGAATCTGCCGCTGGACCAGCTCTCTCACATTGCTGATCAAGTCGTCGAGATTTCGTTGCCAGCATCGCCTCTCACCATCAATGCCATTGACACCCGACAGTTCAGCAGCGAACTCGCGCGCCGTGTCGACGAAATCACCCGTCAGCTGGTCTCAATTCAAAGGCGCGTGGATCAAAGCCCGAAGCTGCATCCACAAAACGCTCCCAAAGCCAAGAAAACAACGCCGCTTCATCGCACGGAAATGAGAACGGCCCCTGCTACTACCATCGCCGCTTCGGGGACAAAGCCCAGAAATGTCAACCACCTTGCTCAGCTGGACGTCAGGGAAACTTCAACGGCAGCCCGTAACACGGCCGCGAGCTACCAACTTAGAGGTCGTCGCATATTCGTCACTGACCAAGTCACAAAGCGGCGGTTCGTCGTCGACTGTGACTCCGACATGTGTTGCTTTCCCCGAACTTTCCTGTGTGACAAGCGTCCTTGCACGTCCTTTGAGCTCAGCGTGGCGAACCATTCGACGATCAAGACCTACGGCTCGCTCCGCCTTAACATCAACTTCAAAAACCTGCGTCAAGATTTTCCATAGAATTTTGTCATCGCCGACGTCGAAGAGCCGATCATCGGGTCCGACTTCTTGGCGTACTACAATCTTCTACCTGGCTGTCAATATGACCGAATTATCGACGCTACAATAGGCCTCTTTACGCCGGGCCAACGTGCGACCACCCAACAGCCTAACGTCAAGGCACTTACCATTGGGAACCAGTCGCCATACCATGACATCCTCGCAGAATTTCCCGACCTTACTCGACCTAGTGGGCGTCCGCGAGAGGTGCGCCACTCAACCGTGCACTACATTCGTACTACTCCCGGCCCCCCGGTCTCATGCCGTGCCCGTCGGCTAGCCCCGGACCGCCTGCGAATTGCACAGGCCGAATTCAAATCCATGCTCCGCGAAGGTACTGCCCGCCGCTCGGAGGGACCTTACGCCTCACGGCTTCATCTTGTACCAAAGAAAACCATTGGCTGGCGCCCCTGCAAAGATTATCACGCCCTCAACGCCCACACCGTCCCCGACAGGTACCCCATCCATCGTATACAGGACTTTGCAGACCACTTAGACAGCAGCACTATCTTCTCAGTGGTGGACCTCGTGAAGGCCTACGCACAAATTCCTGTATACCCGTATGACGTCCCAAAGACCGCAATTCTCAAGCTTTTCGGTCTATTCGAATTCCCTTTCATGAGTTTTGGTCTCCGCAACACGGGGCAAGCCTTTCAACGCTTCATCGACGACGTCGTCCGCGGCCTAGACTTCTGTTTTGTTTACCTAGACGACATCTTAATCTTCTCCCGCAACAAAATGGAACATCGCCAACACCTCCGCCAACTGTTCCAGCGTCTCGACGAACACGGCTTACTCATAAACGTTCAGAAGAGCACGCTAGGCGCCCCCGTCGTCACGTTTCTTGGCCAAGAAATCTGTTCAGAAGGAACTAGACCCTTGCCTGAGCGCATCCTGGCCCTGCAAAATTACGCGCTGCCTGCCACAGCGAAAGACCTCCACCATTTCCTGGGCATGTTCAACTTTTACAGGCGCTTCGTGCCTAAAGCGGCCCCATATCAGGCCCCTCTCCATGATGCGTTGGTCAGCCAACGCGGCAATCATCCTGTTACTTGGACCCCAGCCTTAACGCAAGCGTTCGAAGACTGCAAAACTGCCCTCTGCAACGCTACGCTGCTCTCCCATCCCAAGCCAGAGGCGCCCCTGGGTCTTTTCACAGATGCTTCTAGCACCGCCATCGGAGCCTCTCTCATGCAGCGTGTGGGAAACAACTGGCGCCCCTTGGCGTTCTTCTCGAAGAAACTATTTTTCGCGAAGCCGCCCCCGCCTTCCGGCAGCATCGGCGATGCAACCTCGCCCCCTGCGGAGACAAACTGGCCAGCCTACCAACTACGAAGCAGTCCAACACTTTCGCCACATCCTTGAGGCACAGCACTGCACCATATACACCGACCATAAACCTATCACTTACGCCTCCTCCCAACGCCGCGAAATACTTCCACCGGTACAGCAGAGCCAGCTGTCCTTCATCGCTAAATTCACCACAGATATCCACCACATCAGCGGAAAGGAAAACGTGGTCGCCGACGCACTCTCTCGCGTCTCGGCTGTCCAGCTACCAACCGTTACAACCGACGCCCTCGCCGAAGCTCAGAAAACGGACACCGAACTCCAGCAGGTCCTAGAGAATAGTTCTTTTCTCAACTTCAAAAAGTTACCATCCCTGGGTCAACGGACGCTCTCTACTGTGACATATGAACAGGACGAGTGAGATCATACGTCCCTTCTATGCATCGCCAAAGCCTCTTCAACCAGTTACACAACCTCAGTCATCCCGACATACGAGCTTCTACACGCCTCGTGACTGACCGGTACGCGTGGCCATCAATGCAACGGGACTGCCACACCTGGGCACGCACATGCATTCAATGCCAGTGCGCCAAAATCACCCGGCACGTCATGTCGCCACTCGGAGAATTCCCCTTCCCGACGGAACGGTTCCAGCACGTCCACATCGACATCATTGGACCCCTCCCACTAGCCGGCCCTTACCGCTATTGCCTCACCGCCATCGATCGTTACAATCGTTGGCCCCGAAGGGTGGCCGCTAGAAAGGATCACCGCAGAAGACGTCGCATCAGCCTTCTTCTCCGGCTGGGTTTCACGCTTCGGCACTCCTCGCCGAGTCACCACCGATCAAGGAAGACAATTCGAATCTCAACTCTTCAGGCTACTCGGGCTCTCCACTGGGTTCGAGCGTTCACGGACAACTAGCTACCACCCTTGCGCCAACGGAATGATTGAACGGTTTCACCGGCAGTTCAAGGCAGCCATCATGTGCCACCCTCACTCAACCTGGCTCGAAGCTCTCCCCACCATCGCTCTCGGTCTGCGCACAACTTTCAAGCCAGACATTTAAGCCACGCCCGCGGAACTCGTCTACTGGGAGCCGCTTCGCCTATCTGGAGAACTCCTATCCGCTCTGATCTCTGATGTAACCAGCTCGGACCCTGCAAACTTTGTCGCTCGACTCCGTCGCACAATGGGCGCACTGCGCTCCTCACCAGCGGCTCGCCACACCAAGCCGACCCCGTTCGTGTTTAAGGACCTGTCGTGACGACAAAACATTCACCCTGCAAATCAGTGGAAAGGATCTACGCCTTTCCATAGACCGCCTAAAGCCATCATACATCCTTTACCAGGAGCCTACCAACCCCTGCACGCCTCCCGTAATTCGCCGACAACAGCCCGCAACGCCAAGGCTCGCACCCTACACCACCCGCCTAGGACGCCAGGTGCGGGTCCCCAAACCTCTTCAACCCTAACGGCTCCTATCTGCGTGGGGGGGGGGGCGAAACGGGTCGGCGCCGCTTCTGCGCCTGCGCTCGCGGTGATGCCTCCAAACACGGGTGCCAGCGATAAGAACACTCTCACCCGAAATAAGCAAGAAAACTGTGTGTGTGCCTCGATTCAGGGGCAGTCGTTGTAGAACCTTCAGTGCGCAAACATTAAAGTCATGTTATCTCATATATATATATATATATATGGCGGAGGGAGGGATTATGTCGTGAGCATGTTGTAAGATAATCAAATATTGACACTGAGTGCGCCTGAGAGGCCAGATAATGTTCGGTCTCGAACTTTTCTTCTAAAGGTTATCTATAAGAGTAAAATGACGGTTATAAAAATGTAAAAACAGGTGTTCGAACCTATATCGAGATACGACGTGCGCTTCGAAAGAAATATTCTTTGTCATCTTTGTTATTTATGCTGTATCTACTGGGACTTGACACCAAATTAGAGGGCAGTCGACTAGGCTTCAGCCTATCTTTTGCCAAGCAAGGAAAACCTATTGAATAGTCATTACCAGCAATAATGTATGCAGATGATGAAGTATTAGCAGCCGACAACAAAGAAGACCTGCTGAGTTGATAGACATCTGTGGTATTGAGGGAGACGTGTTCAATTAGAAGTTCCGCAGAAAAAAATCAGCAATCTTGATCTTTATTGATAACAAAGGCAGTCAGCATAAGATACAGGAAGTCACGTTAGAAATAGTGGATAAATACAAATATTCGGGCGTATGGATAAATAACAGGCTGAGTATCTAAGGGATAACGAAAGACACGTTATGACTAAGGGCCCCCGGAATGCAGCTGCAATGATAAATTGGGCACTGTAAAACTGCAATAGGTATGCCGTGTTGAGAGGGATTTGGAAAAGTTTCATGGTCCCGGGTTTGACCTTCGGCAATGTGGTCTTGTGCATGAATTTTGGAGTTCAAGCAAGATTTAAACAATGCGGCATAGGTAGACTTGCTTTGGAGCACACGGGATTACTCAAATCGAGGCTACATGGTGACATGGGATTGACATCGTTTGAGTGCAAGAAAGCTAGCAGCAGGATAGAATTTGAGAAGTGATTGACAAAATGGAAGAGGAGTGTTGGGCTAAAAACGTTTTCAGCTACTTGTACATGAATATATTTGTTTATAAATAGAGGAAACCATTTCTAAAATTATAAAGAAAGTATTTAGACTACAGCAGAATACCAAGCCAAAAGGAAACATCGGTTAAGAAGAAGGTGAAGGAAACAGAGAGGGACTTGTGAAAGATGGGAATGCTTACGAAATCATCACTGGAGACCTACCGAACTTTTAGGCAGCAAATTGCAATGGAAAAGATCTACTCTAATTCTCGGGTACATGTCTGCTCTTCGAGGCTAGAATGGTATTATTGCGGACCAAGACGTACCGAACCAAATACGAAGGCACATACATGGTATGTAGAGTGTGTGGAGAAGAGGAGGCAATGGCTGGACGTTTGATAATGTTCTGTAAAGGGCACCGCCCTATAGTGGAAGACAGTGGCGCCAAATTTTTCAAAGCATTGAGTTTTAGGGACAGCGAAGGCGAAATAGACTTTAAATGGGTAGAAATGACTAGAAGGAGGCTAAATGATTGGTGGCCACATTCGAGGCACGAGTGAAATTCAATTCCTAAACACATAGTGATAGTATTTATCTTTATGGCTAGGTGTCGTGAGCCACCACCCGATCTAAAGGGCACAACCAGATACATCTATCCATGCATCCATCCTTCTGTCTAACGAAGTGGTGCTGATGCATTGAAACTCCTCTGTTTGCCCAACGTTATCGTTCCTGGTAGCGTGACTAACACTCAAAGCGCGTAGGAGATTGGCCATTTCAGAATAAAAACTGAAGTTTTAGCAGGTTTAGAGGTTCATTAAGACGAAAATGCCTTGTGCAGGCTGTGAATGTCATCAACACGGATCGATCGGGAGTACACAAGATCAATTTTTCTAGCCTGCACTTGTACTTTTGTCTGTTCACAGCATTATTTCATGCAAAGAAAAACAGTTAACAAGAACGTTAGCCAGCGTGCTGTTCCTCTATCAAAATATTTACCTACGGAGAAAAACGTAGGGAACTCCCAAGTTGTTACATGAAGGTGCATGTTAAACAGTCCCGGATGGTCAAAATTACTCAAGAGCTATCGACTA